GGTGACCATTGCCGCTGGTAGAGAGAGTGAAGGGAAATCCACAGGAACGGGAATGGGGACAACTGTCTAAGAGGAGATTTCCCTTCCCTCCCTTTGTAAAGATTTCCTCTTACTTCCTGCTGGGCACAGGAAGTAAAGGGAAACGACAAAAGAAAAATCCTGACATGATCTTAATCATTCCCAAAACTAAACGTTTGTACTATACATACACTTCAACATGTGGATGGGAAACTTGAGCCTTGAGCGGGTGACCGGCATTCCCTGTATGATCGGCATTCCCTGTATGATCGGCATTCCCGGTATCATCATTTTGGAATGGAGAATACCTTTCATGTCCTGTAAATGCAAACTTCCATCACAGCATCTGAAAAGACAGAACTGTCGGCTCATAACAATGCATCAGATGGTCACTCTGACTCCACAACTGAATGTCGGAAGAAATCTCAGACGCATTTGTAAAAAAAAAAGAATCGTTGTTTTTATGTGTAACTTACAGGACACACAACCGATGGAGTCTCCGTGTCTGGCTGCTACGGACAACAGAGACACCTGACAACACTGACTTCCTGTCTCGCCTGGAAATGGCTCACTCTACCCAGGAACGGAGCTCACAAGAAATCGTCATTGACATCGTCGTCGTCGTCATCATCATCATCATCCCTTGCCAGAGCTTCGATATTGTGAGTGATGTCTGTGATCATGCGGTTGAAGGACTGGGAGGGCGAGCTTGGCGAGCAGCTGTCGTAGTTGCGCACCGCCGAGGCCGATGTGTTGCTCATGCTGCGCTTGATCCTGCCGAAACTGTCCGTCAGGATCCCGCCATCTCTTATCCCAATGCTCCCCAGGAAACCTTCGAAGTAGCCGATGTCCATGTCGGGGATGAAAGGTCTGAGGCCTAGGAAGACACAACAAAATCAGGAGACCAGAAGGAGTTACCGTAGCAAACAAATGTCATTATTAGGTAAGAATATGAAAGGAAGGATCTGATTGGCTGTCAGTATATACTTGTTCTTCCGTGGGGTAAAGGATGCAATGGGCATAAATAAAACTAAACCTATCTGTGGAGGTCTGCAAGAGTAATCGGACCTGATCCAACTGCCCACAGGCTGGTCTATCAGGCATCTGTCACATGAATCCATACACTCTGGCCATCCTTTAAAGTGGACCTTCCACCTCAGTGACAAGGATCGCCTTTTTCCAGGTGCATTCCTAAAATGCTGCATAAAAAGGTACCTGTGGGGAGGGGGGTGATGCTTCAATAAAATACTCACATTTCCCTGACTTCCAGACTGCAGAGGGTGACATCATCCTGCCCACAAGATCCCCGGGAGTGCTGAGCAGTGAGAAGGCAGTGGCACAGTGCAGGGTTGTCTTCTTGTGAGATTTGGCCTACTCCGCATTCTCCGAGATCCGGCTGGAAGGAGGATGACGTCACCCTCCCCATAAAGCTGGAGCAGGACCCCCGGGATAGATAAATATAATATATTATAACCCCCCACAGGTACTTTAATGAAGCATTTTAGGGAGGGGGACAACATGAACAAGTGGACCTTACCATTGAGGTTCGAAGGTCCACTTTATGGTGCGTACTTATTGATAGGACAATTCAATGAATCATTCCTTGTGATTAAACAGATTGATGAGAGAGAGAGATAGATGGGGAGAGGAGAGAGAGAGAGGGGAGGGATGGAGAGAGGGGGAGAGAGAGATAGATGGGGAGAGGAGAGGGGAGGGATGGAGAGAGAGGGGAGGGATGGAGAGAGAGGGGAGGGGAGAGAGAGGGAGAGGGGAGAGAGAGGGAAGGAGAGGGAGAGGGGAGAGAGAGGGAAGGAGAGAGAGAGGGAGAGGGAGAGGGGAGAGAGAGGGAAGGAGAGAGAGAGGGCTGAATGTACCATTGATCGATTGTACAGTCAGCTTTTATAATTGGCACCGGAATCGATCACCACCGGCTACATGTACGACCACTGAGAGAAATTTGGCTACAGACTTGTTTTAACCCCTTCGTGATCTCGTTGTAACCTCATCTTTTATATTTCATTTAAAATATGGGAAATTTGTTGTGTTTTGGGGCATTAAATTAAAATTTTCACTAAATGTTGGGGTTTAATAAGAAGTTGCGCTAATATTGCGCAACATAAAAATTTGCAACTACCACCATTTTATTCTATAGGGTCTTGGCATTCAGAAAATATATAATGTTGGGGGGTTTTAAGTCATTTTCAGGCCTAAAATGTGGAATATAACATGGGTGCAAAAAATGAAAAAAGGGCCTCAGTCATGAAGGGGTTAACAGGTACAGGCTCTCGGGGTCATCATCAAACTTTTGCCCAGGAACATGAACTTCTTAAAAGCAATGCACATTTCCTATTTGTTTTCTCGGAGGTGCATTTCAAAGCAGAACTCCAGGGGAAAATACATACAAATGAAAAGCTGGAGTGCTGCTCCTAATTTCTTATTCTCTTACAGCATCCAAAAGGGCAAAATGGTCTTGACTGTTTTACATCTGTCCTTCCCAGCGAATGAAGTCAAAGGCAGAGCTAGTCACATGATACAGCTGTGCGTAGCATACCAAGCAGAAGAAATTTTCGGTTTTCTCCGTACAGATGCAGAAGCTCCTGGCAATAGTCTTTCACGTCCATCCCGAGGCGATATTCACGCAGGAGACATGCAAAGCGATAGATCTCCACAGGGGTCAGCTTGTTCCTTAACTAGAAAGATAAAAGTTCACAAATGACCTTACAGCAGTGGACAGAACCAATGTTTTCGGGAAGGGGGGGAGGCACGTCTGTTGCACTGCAGCTGCTGGCTCATGAGAACCTGTCTGCTGACATTTGCAGTTCCCCACCAGCAGGAGAAAAGTAAGGCCTGGCCGTGGACATGATATCAACCGGAAATTCCAGTTTTGCTTCACAAATAAAAAAGCAAACTCCCCTTATAGTAGAATCCTGCCCGCTTCTGTACTAAAGATGTTGGATTTTTTTTCTTTGCACTACTTTGAGATATTTCATAGTGAGGGCAAAGTCGGAAGCCTTGCAGATACAATGTGATCACACATCCAGAATTGCTGCATTTAAAAAGGAAACTACATGCGCAATGACCCGATGGGCGAGTTCTGATGCTCAGATCTTATAAATGATAAGCTAGAGACACAGCGAACCTTCAGTCTAATCTATGTCAGTCCCCCCGAGCAGTGCGGAGCTTGTTAATCAGAGTCAAGCCGGCCATTTATTATGCAAAGTTCGGAACGGTTCTTCAGGAACCGGCTGAAATTCGCATAGTGGGTGCAGCCGTCGCCACTCTTTCGGCCGCCATCTCTCAATCAGCTGATCAAAAGGAGCAATGTTCAAATGAACGAAGCCAGTTGTCGGCTGTGTTTGGATATTCTGACGCCAGAATACAATGCAAACAGTGGGAGATTCCTCGAATCAATGCTCATAAGAGTAGATGGAAGAATGTCTTCTATTTTTTTCCTTCAGCCCCCCAGGTTAGAAGAGTGTATGGGCAGCTTAACAAAGAACAGTGGTCTGGTCCCCTTAGGAAGGACTCACCCGTCTAAGTATAAAGTGCACAGACAGCATGTAATGGAGTAGATAATGAATAAGCTGCTTTCAGGTATCGGGAGAAGTGACACAGAGCAGCATGTAAACACCCCAATGGAGGTAGACGAGTATATCTGTGATTTTATCACATCCCGGTTATTATTCTACATTCATTAAAAGGTTTTATTTGTATTCTACGTATAGACTCATCCACCCCCGCCCCCACAAGATAATGACTCGTATGCTCACAGTGATCATATAGTCCTGCAGCTGCTCCAGGGGCACGCCGGTCTGATCGCCATCACTGGCGCCCGATGCCAAACTCTGCTCAGACGTGGCGAATGAAGGAGACGACTCGCCGCTGTAATGTACTTCAAACGTGTCGTGAGAACCATTACTGAGACAAGAGAGAAGGCATTTGTAATGGTCAGATAAGTTCCTTGAATATGAAGGATAAACAAACTTCTACATTATTAAGTACCAATCACTTAGTGCCAGGCTTTAATGGAAAGGAATGGATTACCTTTACCACCCAGAAAGCTCCGTCCTCACCACCTGATCTGGCACAATATGTCCAAAAGATGGGGGAGGTTGTCTCCTTTCTACAAGTATTTCTACTACAGACT